AATCTTTTTGAGGTTTTGATTCCCAGTCCCCTTGGGCGCTTTTCCAGACATTCAACCTTTCAGGTATGTACATCTACTTCCGCTCATTTTTTGCGATTTCGTGAGTATTTCTGTATAAGAAACCTTGTGTAGAGGGCTTAAGCCCCTGGAGTCGCGACATAAGGCGAGCTTCTTTCGATCCGTCAGAAGGCGTACCGCGCGAAGATTGCCAGTTTCGACAGCTTTGTGAATTGCTTGAACCTTGGCCTGAAATCAATAGTTATGCAACTGATTGGCTAGATTCCAAATTTGAAAAAAAACAATAATACCTGGTATTGTGGTAGCACTTCCAGGAAACCGATGCTATCTGCATCTTCCACCTTAAAATTGAACCGTTTACTTGCTATTTGAATAGAATTATCTCTGATTTTGGGGAGCTTTCGAAATGAGCCCCTGATTTACCACTGAGCGTCAGGAGGCAGGGGAACTTTTTTTTCGGGTATCCGAGCGGAAGCTCGCCGCGCGGCGAGAAGGCAGAGAGCAGCGTGTTACCCACAGTAGGCGCCCCGTTGGCGCGAAAAAGGAAGCGCGCAGTCAGCGGCCTAAAGTTCCGTCGCAGTACTGTAGTGATATATTAGGCACGTCAAATTAAATAGAATGTTCATTGTACGTCTCGACATCGCTACACACGAACCAAAACCTGCGACTCGTCCGCGACTCTGCCTTCTATATACCCGGCCCGAATCGAGGCCTCACTGTGGGTACCCCAAACAGGCGGCCTGCAGTCGCGTAACTACTGGCGAATTAAGTGTCGAAGCTAATGTGTGAGCTGTAGACGATGACTAATCCACGGGTGACTTCATAATTGCTCACATAGCGCTGCAACTCGTCGCTGTCTGTCCCGTCTCCTATCTATGCCTGTTCTGTCGACGCCTACGGGCCCCTGACTTTTACTATACTTCAAAATTATCAATGCAGAATGTCTATGAGCAGAGGTAACAAACAAATGAATTAAAATAAGGATAAAAAATAAAGGATAAAGCATTTGCCGTTGATCAATCCCTTTTTGGGATGCGGCACGCATTCTACTTCCATTTGTACATTCGTAGTGGCGTTTGAATGCGATGTGGCCTATACAATGACTTGCGGGGGCCAGCCGATGTACAAGTCAGTGTTTTTATCCTCCCAGACAAGTCTGGTACCAATTAACCGACCCCGGAGGGATGGAAGGCTTGGTTGGCCCCCGGGCGACTCACGACCCAGGATTTGAACCCCCCTGGAGCTAGTGTTGTAAGTCTTGTAACTTGCCACTTACAACCATCTTCCCGCCCACGTGAATAAAAAGTTCAAATTCCATCGAAATTGCCTTATGCTCATTCGTAACGCCTAAATGTAGATTTTCAATTGCTTCCCCAACCAGCGCGAAATAGGGTGGTACTTGTCGAAATCATGCAAACAGTGCGAGGAAATGGACCGCCTTTGCATCCATCATAGCATTTACCCCATCTTATTTCGCCAATTTGATGTTGGGAGTCGGAACTGCGAACTTCGGCGGGGGGGGGGGGTTTCCTTGAAATGCGGATAAACTGTAGAATATCCAGGCGCTTTGGAGGAATCCCAGCGTAATACTCAACCTTGATCCACATTGAAGCCTCAAAAGACGGCGAATTTTTTGAAACGTTAGGTTGATCTAGTAAATGTTCCACCTAGACCTTGAACGGCACAAACGACTGACACAAATAGGTACACAGTTGGTGTTTATGGTGAAAAAAATAATGCAAAAAGAACCTCATGATTTCTACCAAGCAGCAAATCGCCGTAGCCAGTTAGGACTAGCTCTTCAAGTTTTCCAACATTTCCGGTGTGGATCCAGTCGTAGATGTCTTCCTCGAGATCTAAAAATCCATATATTGAAAGAATTTTCAGTCTCATCAAGGCGCAGGTCCGACAACATCGGTCCCTTGTGAAGTGAGTGAATTGGAAATCCTAGACCACGAACGTTTCGGGCGCTGACTGAGAGTAGTGGGAACTCACACACCTGCATAGCGCCCATCCAACCATTATGCCGTGTTCGTCGAGAACTCCGCCACTCATGAACGCATGGAGAGGGATTCGCCTTCGTAGGCAACTCAAATGGCAAGGAAAGGGAGCCGTTTCAATGAATTCACTGGTCATCATTGGTGAAGATTCGTTGAAGACGATGGTCACGAATCCTCCTACATACACACCAACGCGCTGAAGGTCCTGCATCCACTATATGACAGACCCAAATGGCTCCATCAGACAATGCATAATACCTTCCAGTGCCCATTCACCTCTAGATAGGGCGCCTACCTATCGAAAACTGGAAAAAGCTTCCGCGCGGCTCAAAGGAATCCTTTGCGGAGAATTCTTGCGCTCCTTATTAACATGAATGTATCAGTTTTGATCACTAGATACATTACACCAAGTTTTACGCAAGAAGGTTCGGTTTCCGAAGAGAAACAAACTCACGAAAATCCTCCCTTCCTACTAGACAATCGAATGGTTAGTTGCCAGCGAGCAAAGGCGCGCATAAATAGGTACCACACTGGGGCCCAATAATCGTAAGGTCACGCAATGAAGGAATCGGATTAAAGCGTGCGGATTTTCGGAGAGTAGAGACAAATCGATCGATAGAATAGGATGGAGTAGAAGTGTGAGATGTGAATGCAATAAGTCAAAAGGCCAGAAAGAGTTTCTAGTGAAGGCACTCCAAGAACCAAGTGGAAGCATTCCCGTCGCCAGCATTTGTGACAGATGTCCGGCGGTACTTTGAACGCGTAGCAGCCCTTTCGGTTTTTCGAATTTTTTACCAAAACAAATGCAATTTTTTTTGTTCTTTTCGTTCTTATCGTGAATGATGGGTCTCAAGCCAGTGAATTATGGGTGGATAGAATCACGATTTTTTCGAGAAGGATTCCTTCAATTGCGGCATCGTTGAAAGGAACACCTAAGCTCGACCAGGATGCAGGTTATTCTTTCGGGATTTGAGATAGAATTCAAGAACTACGAAAAACAATCGCATTGAGTACAGTTTTACCTTGTAGGAGTGTACGGCTCAGTTGTCCGGACATCAGCTGATTCATAACCGCATTGTCCTTCATACTGCGCATGTTGAGACGTTGCCCTTGTGTACGGTAATAGAAAGGTGTATGACCATGCTGAATAAATAAATAAGTTTAACAATAATAAACAGTTAATAACTAATAAATAAATAATAGGAATTAACGTGATGGTCGTTCATGTCCACGCTCCCGACAAGTCTGCAAGTGGTGGCTCTCCTTTGCCAGCAGTTGTGACAGTTTTACTGCGGGAATTCGAATTTTCTAATACTCTACCTAGTTCTTTGGATTATTATCATATCGGTTTCTTTGCTATTTTTGCTATCCTCATGAAGCTCTAACCAGGAAGGTCTTTCAGGGCGTGCCAAGCTTTTTGAAAACGGTCTTTTGCATGATATAGGGGCACATGCGGGAACCACAGAACCATGGTTCATTTTTCCTGAACGGCCCTCTGAATACCAGAAAAGGGGGTCCCTAGTTCGATTCCTCGTGGTGACAAATTTTTGCATTTCGAGTTGACGTTCCAAAATTCGCGCAAAATGGAGTTAGCATGAATAATTAGTACCATATTCATGATTAGGACCGTCAGTAACCCTTACAAAAAGACTTTGACTTAAAAATTGGTGTAAGAGGTGTGACACCAAGCAGCCCCACTGTGGTGTCACACCTTTTTCACCAGTTTTTTAATCAAAGTCTATTTGTAAGGGTTACTGACGGTCCTAATCATGAATATGGTACTAATTATTCATGCTAACTCCATTTTGCGCGAATTTTGGAACGTCAACTCGAAATGCAAAAATTTGTCACCACGAGGAATCGAACTAGGGACCCCTTTTCTGGTATTCAGAGGGCCGTTCAGGAAAATAAAAATCGAACTTCGTATAGATGCATGATACTCCGGCAATGCGAACCCGCTACTTGCCATGTGCCGTATTGTAAAAGAGCCGTTTCAAAAAGCCCTCAAGAGCACATCTCCTGAAAGGAGCCTCCCTGTAAGGCATTAAGTTATTGTGAACTAATGAAGTACAGAGTGTTTTCGCGTGGAAAACGATATCCTTCGACGATTTTCGGATCGCCTAGTTTCCGCCTGTTTTACCAGTAAGCTAATGTGCTAATAATCAAGTTTCATCACACCAAATACACGATAAACTCTTGTGCTTTGGAAAGTGCAATCGCGGTTGATTTGGTCAGACGTCAGAAAAAATTGTCCAAAAAATTCGAGGATAACGTAATCCTTGCCTATGGTGCCCGCCTGCGCCATTGGCAATGCGCGTTCGCAATCAGCAACTTAATGATCAAAACCTCAGTCCGTGCCCAAAATCAAAAATAAAAGCCACCTTGTCGTCGATGAACGCGTCTCCACCGGCTTTCTGTAGGACTTTGATCATGTGCTCGCCGTTCGGATCGGCCGCAGCATAGTGAAGTGGTGTACGCCCTGCCTGAAATGACCAAAAATCAAAAATCTTGGAGAGTAAACTTTGAGCCTGATGCCGTATCGCTAATCCCGAACCAGAGTGACTTGACCCGATACCAGAGCACCGACTGAGGCACAGGCTAAAAACATCGTGTTGACTTTCTGTTCAACCTTACTGTCTGCCGCTGCCTCGTGCGTCTATCAATTACGTTTTCAATTCCCAAGGCTCATCAAAAATAATCTTGTTTTGCTATGCGAACAACCCTTGTCATGGTAAATCAAAGTACGGACAATAGCTCAGTAAAGTCAAATAGCTCAAACGAATTAGATATTGATCGGAGAATAACCTCCCCTTCAAAAAGCGAGAAAGTGTCGGGTGCAGACCAAACACCACAACTGACGACGGCCTCCAAGTAAATCTGGTTAGAAGTTGTTCATAGTTGATAGCTGATTTCTGGTAAATGATAGTTGTAATTAGTGACAATCGATAGAATACAACTGCAACAGGCTAATCATTTCATTGGCAGAAAACATTTACATTTTCTGAGGCCGTCGTCACTTGTGGTGTATGGTCTGCACCCGACACTTTCTCCAGTTTGAAAGGAATCGATAGCGAGTAAGAAGTAAAGTAATATCTATCGTCTGAATTCGTTGGCGAATTCAATTGAGGTGGTCACCACGACGTGCTTCCAGAGTACAACAACTAAGCTTTATACATACAATACTCCTGTCCGTAGAAAAGTTGCTGTATAACTTTATTATCAGGTTCGAACATACATTCGACCAGATCGTCCTTCCTCAAAGGCAACGAAACGTGGTTCAAAGATGAGAAGTGCCTCCTAAACCGCCTTCCCAAGCGACTCTCCTAGCGTTTCTGACAAACGCCGCTCTAGAAGAAGAGCCAAAAATCCCGAACAAGGAAATAAACCTACTCAGTTTACAAGGAGGCGCTTGGCGCTCAGGAGGCCAACTTCTCATACAATTGAGCCCACGTTTAGTCCTATGAGGAAACGAATCTGCGAATAATCGTCCGAGCCTATAAAGTTGCCAGCCTACAAACTTCTACGCAGTTACAAGATACAAAACACAAGTGCCGAAGTTCTACGAAGAGAGGAGTTGGACAGCACGAAATGGCGTTGCCAACAAGTTTTTTTTCATAGTTCTTTCATAGTTGCAGTTATTTCCTTCATTTACGCACCTTTCTCATTTTCAATGAGCCCAAATTGCGATGTGCACAACTGAATAAGGGATAATTGCAAGGAGATACATAGTGCTCAATTTGAATGCTGGTTCAAATAAACGTAGCACAGAGGAAAGAACGATAACTCTGAGAAGAACGCGAGAACCTGCTAGAACCAGGAAGTTGCAGCCACTTTTTTCAACACCAATGACTTCCACCAGTAACCATTGAGCCTTTGGGATACTGTTTTCTTACTGTACGAAGTACAGTAGCGGTCAAAAGTGTTCGCCGAAACGGTTTTTCGTGCTTCTCTTTTTTTGCAGAAAAAAATCAATGGTGGCCTCGAAAATTTTTTCTTTTGAATATCCTGATTCTTCAAGACTTGAGGATAAAAACACTAGAAAACATAGTATATCAATCTTTGGAGGGCGTTGCTCAAGCGAGAAAAAATAATGCACTGAAAATCGTTTCGGCGAACACTTTTGACCGCTACTGTATACACAGAGAGGCAAAAAACCTTTTGTCCCTAGGTTTCAATGGATTCAATCGTACTTCGCTAAATACAAACTGAATGCTCTCAAGTTGATTCTTAAGAGCACGTTTCATTTTAAAAGAAAGATTTCATGGTGGCGTGGATTATGTCAGAAAATCTGCCCAGCAACATGGTGCACTGGATCGAGCTCAATGGGGTCTTCGACGGATCGTGTACCATTACGACGGTTTTCTGAAGGGCGGGTTTCGAGGGGGTTTGCATAGTAGAGCTAATGTCTCTAGGAAACTATTCACATTGAATCGATTCAAGATTATGTGAGAGCTTCAGACTGGAGCAATTACGGTAGGTCTTGAGCTCGATGGTGACGACTCTGGAGAAGGTGAGGGGCAGCGAAAAAGGGATTACATCCACTTCCAGAGGGGCATTTGAGGAATGTTTTGCTTCTTGACTTCCGCCAAGAACTGCGATCTCTGCGAAAAAAACTGCTGAAGTGTCACATGATCAAAACGTCATTTTTGCCGCCCTTCCTGCATATCCCACAGGCACTGAACCCCAAGCGAAGAGACTGTCATTCTGGTAAATAGCTGCGCCTGCATAAAAGGCAAGGGATTACGATAAATTGATAGTAACCGATTCTGTAGGAAGGGACGTCAAATAGTGCAGCCCTGAAGAAGAAACTCGAATAAACCGTCAAATCAAAGACAGGAAGTGGGACCCTTACTCTGCCCTTAGACAGTGCACGAGCCTACAGCTTACATGCTGGCCGTTCGGGTGAAGAATGTGGAAGACGGAAAGTTTGTAGGATACGGTCATTTGATGAAAAATGCACTTTCTGAATGAAAATCGACTTGATGGTGAAGATATTACAAATTTCAATAATCACAGCTGTGGGCGGAGCGGTTTTGGAGGCCGATAATAGGTTTGGAGCCTATTGCTCTTGTTGTTGTACTAGCAATATGATGTTTACTTTGCATCCACGTTATCTACAGTATCCAAAAGGTTGAACGCATCAAAGATGAATATGTACACTCTATTTCGGACGAGAAGAGCGTCGAGTCCAGAACACACGCCAAAAATGATGACGGCCAAGAAAAAAGAGAAGAAAAAGCTTTATTCCTTCGCCGTCGTCACTTGTGGTGTGTTGTCT